GTTATGTCTAGCTTCACCTGTCTGGTAAAGCACAGCAGGAATTTAAAGGTTTGCCCTAAATCTAGTTGAAGTAAATTGAAAGAATGGCATTTTCTTTCCTTTGAGTTGGCTTATGAAAGCCATGTATGGAAATGAAAGGAGAGGCTAATTCCTCAGCAGATTTATTTCATAATAACACAACTGACTTAAAAAGACCTATACTACTACCAGAAATTCTTCAAATACAAATAATCTTTGAAGAAGCAAGAAGCTCCAATTATTAGAGGTGTACTGGTGCACATCTAATTATTAGGCGCTGATTTCATGCTTTTTCTTCTGGCAAGTGTAATCAGGAGTCTAGTAACCACAGCCAGTAACTGTAGTAATGTTAAAAGTTCTATGCATCATCCAAAGGACCTTCAGTAAGATATTCCCTACCACACATGGTTCTTGCAAATAAAACAGCATCTCCTTTGATCTTCTTGCATATGGTTGACTGTCCCCATACATCAGGGTTACTAATGGAAGCACAGTCTCTTGCTTGCCACCAATACAGGACTTGAACATTGCTTCTACTGTGGTTTTTCTATCTAGGATGCCTGATATTCCAGGTTTCCTACTTCTTGCCCCAAAAGTAGAGGTTTGCATGTCTACCATTAAGCATCTGATCTAATACAAAACTGTCTCTTATTTCTGGAGAGACTTAAGGAGATGTCTTTAAAACATTTGTGTCTCCTTTGGTTTATTACAAATAAAGATGATCTTAAAATAATTATGATCAGTTCTCCATATACTGTCCAGTATACTAGTCTGACATTTTTCAGGCAAATGCCACAGCCATTTTTAATTACTTCCTTGAAATCTGCAGTCTACTTTAGCAAATATTTCCCTGCAAGGCAAGTCATCTCTGATTAATCTATATCTTGTGAAGTGTTTGGAGATTCTAGGTTAGACAATAGTAGATAGAAATACAGCCTTTGTTAGTAACCATGCAATATAAAAAATTTTGATGGATATCTTGAAATACACATTTGAAACTAGACAAGTCTTTACCAGGAAATTTTTGCTTGTTAGGTACTTAGGATTTGGTTCTTGGTGACAAGAAAAGACAGTCTCAGTGGGCCTGACAAGAAAACTTGTATTCTTTTCTTCTGCTGCCCAGCTCTGCACAAAGACCCACATGGTGTCATATGAGTGAGTGATCAACAGAGCAGAAACACCCTCCATTTCTCTTTGTCTTTGCCAACAACATATCTTCTCCTTCTTCTGATCTGCTTCTTGTTCAGCATGGAAGAGCTGGCTCACACAGGACATACCTTGGAGACCGCAGCCATTTCAAGCTCTTCCCAATAAAGAATCCTTGACTGGGCATTTCTGGCCGGGTTCTATCTACTCTTGTATTAATTTATCCAGGAGTTTTCAACACTCACCCATGAGCAGCAGCCTGTATGTAACCTACTCCCGTGTCATAGAATCATAGAATCCTTTAGGTTGGAAGGGACCTCCAAGATCATCAAGTCCAACCTTTCATTCAACTGAAGCTTCATCTACCCTTTCATCAGGACTGGGGCTCAGTCAGTCTCATATTTAAACCTTTGAGATGCAGATCAGACATGGTGGCCCAAAGCACCCACTTCACTATTTCTGCACAACATACAATAATATTTTTAATTCCTGTAAGGCAACAAGTCCTTGCCCTAAGGAAGAAGTGATGAGAGTGTTGCTCATGCTTTAAGTGGTTTAGGGTTTTTTGCTGTTTAATGAATTAATGACATTTTTGTTTTAAAAGTGTCCCAAGCAAGTCAAATCAGAATTAGTTGACATCTGTATTTATAGGAAAGAAACTGGCATTGATTTAAGTAATAAAATCACAGTGTGATCTTTTCTGTTGATAAGTCTCTAAGATTCAGGGTTGATACATGCTTTTTCAGAGTTCTATAGTACTTCTATAGTTTTGATCAAATATATATAGATATGAAGTCTAGATCTAGATCTTAACCAATACCTAAGTCTTGGAATTTTGATTCAAAGTTTTCTCTACTGATAATGAGAAACATGTCTCATACCCGAATGAAAATATTAGAAACCCTATAATATCAGGTTTTAAATCACGGGAATATAGCTTCCAATCACTGGCAGAATCAGATAGGTCAAAGTAAATGAGTTCAACATTAGATACTCAAGCTTTTGATAAGTATGGTTTGATAAATTATTAATCAAATAACAGCAGCAAGTGAAATCAGGGCAATGCAAGCAGTCATTCTGCATTCATGGCCTTCGTCCTGGTGCAAAATATCTCTGTGCTATCATGTCTACTGAATTTTAAAGGGAATTTTCCAACAACTTTGGAATTAATTAATGCAAAATTAACAACTTTGTTCTGAAATTTACCTCTCAATAAATTCAAATGTAAATAAGTTAATTGTGCCAATTCTGCATCCCTGTTTTAAGCTTATTTTTAAAGTGGACTAAGAAGTGTACATGTTCTTTCAGTGTTCACTTTCCTTTGCAAAATTCAAGCTTAATGATCTGCTGAAGGGTTGCTGATGTTTCTGAACAGCCAATGTCTGTGTTGCTTTCACAGCTATAGAAAAAATAAATAGTATGAGCACAGACTCCTACATAGTTTGTGTTCTGAGATTCATAAAACTATTAAAGTACTTATTCCTATTAGATTATATCTTCAATTTATAATTGTCTCCTAGGATTTGGGGTGCCAATTCCTATGGAATTTCTTTTGAGCCCTGTCAACATGAAGCATGGTAAGTGTCAACAATTTTTTAACCCAAACATTAAATATATTTACGTGGTTTCTCCAAAGTTGTAAGAATAATCCAAAAAAAGCTCAAGCCTGTGACTCTCTGTGCATGGAATTCTCTTCAGTTTCAAGTGATGTTCTGTGAGCAGTCTGCAGATATTCTTTCCCAAATTAAACTAGACTGAGACTCACTTCAGCCTCCTAAAATCCCAAAACATAAACTATGATTTTCAAGAGCAGCTGTTGTGGAGAGAAGCCTCATGCCAGTATGAAACAGCTTCAAAAGTCTGCTATGATGGAGTGGTTACATCAGCATCTGGACTTCTGTAAAGCCTTTGACTCATTCCCCCACAACATCCTTCTCTGAAAATTGGAGAGATATGGATTTAATGGGCAGACAAGTGGGTGGATAAAGAAGTAACCGGATGGCTGCATCCAGAGGGTAGTGGTCTTGATGTCCAGATGGTGATTGGTGACAAATGGTGCCCCTCAGGGATTCTACTGGGACCAGTGCTGTTTAATATCTTCATCAATGGCACAGACAGTGGAATTGAGTGCACCATCAGCAAGTCTGCAGATGACACCAAGCTGAGTGGTGCCATGTCAGGGGGATTAGATGCCATCCAGAGGATTCTAGACAAGCTTGAGAAGTGGGCCTGTGTGAACTTTGTGAGGGTCAAAACAAGGTCAAAAGCAAGGTCCTGCACTGGGGTTAGCGTGATCTTTGGTATCAGTACAGACTGGGGGATGATGGGATTGAGAGCAGCCCTGCGAAAATGGACTTGGGGTAGTAGTGGATGAAAAGCTTGACATGAGCCAGCAATGTGTGCTCACAGCCCAGAAGGCAAACCTCAACAAAAAAAGTGTGCCCAGCACGTTGAGGGAGGTGATTCTGCTGCACTACTCTGCTCTGGTGAGACCTCACCTGGAGTGCTGTGCCCAGCTCTGGAACCCTCAGCACAGGAAGGACATGAACCTGTTGGAGTGGGTCCAGAGGAGGGTCACAAATATTATCAGAGGTCTGGAACATCTCTCCTATGAAGAAAGGCTGAGAGATTTGAGGTTGCTCAGCCTGAAGAGGAGAAGGCTCCAGGGAGATCTTTTTGCATCCTTTCAATACCTCAAGGGGGCATAAGAAAGATGGGGGCAGTCTTTTCAGCAGGGCCTGTTGCAACAGGACAAGGGGTAGTGGTTTTAAACTAAAAGAGAGGAGTTTTAAACTAGATATAAAGAAGACATTTTTTACAATGAGGGTGGTGAAACACTGGAACAGGTTGCCCATAGAGGTGGGAGATGCCTCATCCCCAGAAACATTCAAGGTCAGGTTGGATGGGGCTCTGAGCAACCTCATCTAGTTAAAGATGTCCCTGCAGGGGGCTTGGACTAGATAACATTAAAAGGTTTCAATTCATATCATTCTATGATTCTAAGTGCTCTACACTTGGTAAAACCCAAGACCTTTCAGAGGTATCTCGGATTAGATGACAGAGCAATTAATTACTTTTAAGACATGGCTATCACATTTAAAATAAAAAGGAAACATCTTCTAAGTTCATCACCCTACTGGCAGGAATGAGGCAAAGGATCCAGTAGACAACTTTTTATCCTAATACATGAATCATGATGTGGCTTGAAGCATTGAAGTTAACATAGATAATGGTCCCAAACTATACTTAGCACTGCAATTCACCTAAAGAAAAAAAAAGCTACAAAGAATAAGCAAGCAAACAAAAATCCCAAAGTAATTTGAGCATTGCTATAGTTAAAACAACCAACTAAGATGTGGACACATCTGCTAAATAGTCTCAAAATTGTTGTGTGGTTTTTTTCCCCCGTGATGCTTACCTGCAGACTGAGTATTGTGATTTCTCCTTATAAAGCACTGTGCTAATTTAAAGAGAATTTTAATGACACATCAAACTGGGATCATGACCTTTTTCAAACTCCATGCATGGAACATGAAAAGTTTTTTTGGTAAGTTCTATATTTTATGAGACTAGCACAAAGAGGAAAATCAGACAAACTGTTGTGCACATAGCTTGACTGTTTTTTCACAATGTACTGGTTGGTCTAATAGAAAATATTTTATCTATCTATGAAACTTCGTATGGTTAAGTCCTAAGATCATGATGACTACAACAACATTGCTACTCCGAGCTGTGAAAGGTGCAGGGAAATTAACTGTATTGATTTATGGTTTTGCTTTCCCCTTCTCACATCTTTCGATATTTAATAAAAACTGTATTAGGATTGGAAAGCAAAATTCATCTAACATTCTATTTTGCATATGAAACTTTTTGCTACATTTCTAAGTGAACATATCACTCATCTCTAGCAAACGAATCTCCCACTGTAAAAGCGGGTGAAGTGTATTACATGAAGTTAACCAATGCTCTCCTGAAATGGTACTGAAAGCAGCTATTAAATGGTGATGAACTTGATTTCTTCTGGATTATGTATGATATTAGAATATGTTTCAAGTGATATCATCTACACTTAGCTTTCAAAAATTAATTATTCTCTGTAGTGTAGCCAGACATACCTATGCGTGTGTCATTGGTCTTCATGTTTGGATACCTGTCTTTATTATTTTCATCCACTCTGAGGAAATGCAGTTACCCAGAGGAAATATAACAAAACAAAACAAAAAAAGAAACTAGGTCTTACCAGGATTTCTTTTAAGCATATGTTCTGCTTCTACAGCTGTTATCTGTGAGACTGTGGTGAACACATGGGCACAATGTACAGATGCTCGTTCCATACAGTACCGATGATAGATCTGCCTCTCTCCTGCTTCCTTGTCAATGTCAAACTGTTAAATAAAAGAAAAAAAAAAGACACCTTTGTGATATGCTCATCAGACTCATTACAACAAAGAAGTTCCCTCGTGCTAAGCTTGATTTCCCCAGAGAATGAGGTGATTATGTCATTGGCTTGTCTTTCTGCTTTTTGAACCATTTTATCATTTTTGAAGAGTTTTAAAAGAGCATGAAAGGTCTTGCCTCCTGCATGTTCATCAAAAAGTGGCAACTCTGCAATGGAAGGAGAATTTTATTAATGATCCTATGAAAGGTAAGGATCTGTGGTATTTGTCCCTCTGGCTGGCAATAAGTCATGCTGCATCTTGTCTGGGCTTGTTGGAAAACTTGGGAGAGCAGGGAAGTTGCTGGTCACTGAAGGTACAGGGGAGAAAATAAAAAAGGAATGGGGATGAGGAGAGAACTTGGGGACTGGGTAGAATGGTGGTAGGCAAGAAGAAAATGGAGTTGTGGGGGAGAGGCAGGTTGTAAGGACTCAGTCACAAATCCTGAAGGAACAAAGAAAAAAGAAAATGAGATATTTCCTGATCCTGAGAGATGTTCTTTCTCTAATCCCACCGTTATTTGCTGCTCATTTTACTTCAGTTTGAACTCCCTTAGTTTCTAGAGGTACATGCAAGTTAAACTGCTAGATAAGGCCATTTCAAATACCAAAGTATTTCTAAATCACTTTTAAACTTTGCAGCGATCTCTTTTTTTACTGAGCTTACATTAGCCTGATGGAAAGAAAATTCACAATACCTACTGAGCCATGCTTAAAGGTTTGACTAATGGTGTGCACTACAAAATCACTACGTTGTAGTCTGACAAAAAATTATGCTAATGGGGCGCCAATGATTCCAACTGAATTACAATCCTCTTAGTCTTACATGATGTTTCACTTCTGGGAAGTGTTGATCTCCTGAGGTCAATAGCACGGGCACCAACTAGACTGTGTGAGTTACATGGAGAGTGCCAATGAGCTCTGTCATTGTCACTGCCTAATGCTAGGTGCACAGCCTGATTCTGATTGCATTTGACTCTGGAACTTCATGGACCGTAATAGATTTAACCATTATTACAGGCTGGGCTAACAGCACTTTCTATATTTAGAACTCATAGTCTGACCTTTGCCACAGCTAGTTGCTTTTAGCCCTTTAGAACTTAGCCAGTAGTAAAGATGATCAGACCATGATCCTTCATGCTGAGTATGTGCCTAAGGTTGGTATAGAATATATTTTAAGAATTTTTAGCAGATGTGAACCATTTCAGGGAGCAAAATTTAAGCATATAATTTTATATTTTTATTTAGGGGTGCATATATATATATATATGTAGATATAGGTATCTTACAACTGTTTTACTAAGAAACTTGAGTGCTTCGATTCACTGAGCACTGCAATTTTACAGTGGTGCTACACTGCTGCCACCAAAGAAGGAGTCCTTGAAAAATCTTAGCTAAAAAGTTCTAGAGAAACTAGATGCTTTCTTTTGGTGTTGATAATACTGTATGTTAAGAGTTCCTAAGCTTGCCAATGAGATTTTAGAAAAGCTAGGAAATGTGCTTTACCGCATAATGTGCTATACACTATGATACAATTTTTCAGTTGTATCATCATATGTTGTATTTTATGTATTCTCCGTGAGAATTTTCATGCAGGAAATAAAACCACAGCACAAACGATCTTTTCTCTAGAACATGTATCTTCTTGGTCACAGAAGTTGAATGACAGAAAAAGCAGAGGGCAGAAGAAGGGAAAAAAAAGGGTGAATTAATGTGACTCGTTAGAGTGCCACAGTTCTCTAGCTTGATGCTTCAGTTACCCTAAACCAATCCACAAGCAGTTCGTAACTGTGGTTCCTCTTTTTCTGGGAGGCTACTTTGATATTTTTGAGTCTGATCTGCTGAAGTGTTGAGCATTCACATCTACATCTGAAATCCAGGAGACCTGTGCTCTGAGGCTGTGAAGTACTCAGTACTGATAACTCAAATAAAAGCTTCCCTAAAACAATGTGCATAATGTAGCTCCCTCTCCTCACAGGAGACTAATTAAACTAATTAACATCTCTGGAGCCATCCAGATGCCACTGATGAATGCTGCAAAGCAGCTCTTAAGAAAATCACAGATAAGTTCTTCAGAGAAGAAATCTTAACTACACATTGTAACCCAGGTAGGAAGCTGCATATTGAACAATAATGATTGCTCAACCATTTTGTGTACCAAAGATACAGAACGGGCCAGTTCTTTAGCATGTGAGGCAAACACAAATGGGATGGGGTCCCACTGCGCAGTGAAAACCATGCAAGTTTTTTCACATACATTTGACTTCATATTAAAAATAATATTAAAATTGCTAGCAAACAAATGGGTGGCCAAACTTTAAAAGGTTTTTGTTCCCTTTTCCATTTCTCACCAAGAATGAGTTCTTTACAAAATGCAATTTAAAACTAAATCTAGGATATGTTCATTAACTGCAGATAAACATTCCATCCAACACTATTGGGAGAAAGAGTCATAAAAGAATTGTTCGAAGCACTATCACTTATTGGTTGCTAGCTTTTGTTTCTTTGATTTAATGAAAGCAACACACACATATTGATTTTTATTTCTTCATTGCTATTCATTTTTCATCTTCTGGAAGTAAGGGAGATTTTATTTTGCACATGCAAGCATGGCTTTTGGCACACTTTTTCAAAGGTACACAATTAGATGTATATTAGCGAGTCTAACTAAGGTCACGGAGTTCTCCCATTTAATTTGCTCTCACTCTCCAGCAGTTTCCTTCACCAGTCAGTAAAGAAAGATCTCGACATTTGACCTCATTTACAGTGTGGAGTATGAAACCTCCTTGTGCACTTCTGAGCAGGCTAGATGGGTGACTTCAGAAAATAAGCCTTAGACAAGTTGAAGGGCAGGTTAAATGGAACTTAATTGATGAGACAGTGCAGGAGACAAATTTAGTCCACCCAGCACTGTGCAAAGACAGCTGAGCTTGCTGTGCCAGTATTAGCTCCAGAATTAGAGACAAGATGGGGCATGGTGCTGCATCGATGCTCCAGTATGCCAGAATGGAGCAGAGCAGCAGCTCAGCTACTTGCTCTTCACTCCCAAACAAATGTCTCTGCTCAGCAACCAGCTCTGCTGTCTGAATGCCTGCCCACCTTAGCTCAGGCATCTGTGCACTCTGTCCCGTGGTGTTCACACGCAGCAAGAGCGAAGCACAGTGTCTGTGAAGTGTGTCATGCTTACTTTTGTTTGCTTGCTGTTACCTGCAAACAGGGACACTGGCAAAGCCACAAATGAAAGCTGGGCCAAGAGAAAAAACAGATCTATGTCAGATTAACTGTTTATAGAATAATTTAGGTTGGAAAAGATCCTTGAGTCCAACCTTTTCCTGCCTCACTGACTTTTAAGGTCTAACAACTTCAGTACTCACTTCCCTATAACTCTATTCCCCTGCTGCTCCCAGTGAGGATCCCCTTTTATGCTGACTGTTAGAAACCAGACTGACAGTTAGAATGTAGATGATGGCCAGGATTAGAGGGAAAATGCCTCCTTTTTAAGGCCACTCTAATTCCAAAGCAAAAGAGGAAGATGTTCCACAGGCATAATGCTTTGGAGTAAAACTTGCATTTGCTGAAATGCAATTCTGAGGAAAAAATCCAGCTCATTTCTGTCTTTCATATGGATCCATGTAACAAGCATAACATTTCATTCATGTCTTAAAATTTAGCATGTTAGGGGGCAGAGTAGATAATCACTGAACCTCCCAGCATGATACTGAATATGAAAAGAGAAGATCAAGCAGTTATGGGATACTGGCATTATGCTTCTTTTGCAAACAATGAACTGAAGTAATAAATCCTAATCAGATATTCCTGTTTCAAAATGGTAAAGACAAATTGCAAATTATTTACAAAAGCATCAGAAGAATTATTTGAGAGTGGAAAAGGAGGCAAGCCTATATTAGCTATATAAATACTTTTCTGAAAGACGGATCAATGATTTCTCATATCCTACATACAATCTCCAGACACTGATACTAGTCTATGATTTCACGAAGCAGGAAAAAAAAGTATGATGAAAGCAAATTGAAGTTAAACCAAGACAAATCCAAACTGGAATTAAATATGTAGTTTGATAATTAGTAACTGTGTGACACCTTTGCATAAATAATATAGATTCCCCTCACTCTTGAACCTTAGCTCAAGGCTGGATAATGTTTTTGTAAGTAATTTGTATGTTAAATAAAAAGTATAGGTTTGATGCAGGACTTTTTAGCTGAGGATTTTAGACAGTGAATTAAATGGTCTCTTCTTGTCTTTAAAACTGGTAGCACACTCAAGTCCACAAGGTGATTCTGCAGTGGAATGGGGAACAGTCACTTTTAGCATAATCTCACTGGCTGCTGTTGTCTGATTTATGTAAGAATTACTCTTTTTTTAAATCCAGCTTATGTCAAATTTAACTCTCACTGATTGTTATCTTGTGCACATAGAACTTTCATTCTGGTATAGCTACGCCAAAAGAGAATGAAACTTGCACTTCCTGGCTTAAGTCAGATTTCCATTAGCTGCTCTGCTAACAAAGTGGATCAGCTTTGCATAACAGTGAGCTCAGTGACAGCTCTGACAGTCCCACAGAGTGGAATGAGAGCCTGTGCTCCTGCTTTGTCAGTATAAAAGCTCCTGACTATTCATTTTTATAGGGATTTTTAGTGCTTTTCCTTTCAGGCTTCCTGGGATTGAATTCTTCACTACTTTGCAAACTAGATTCAGCTGCACTTGTATGAGCCAAATGTAAAATATTGCTGGGTCTAAATAAAAGTGTTACACGTTGGCAGGTTAACCTTATATAAGGCAAAAGGCAATGAGGAATGTGAAGATTTTTTTTTTCCCCTTAGAGTGCTTTTTTCCATTGTAACCCGAGGTGAGTTTTTAGTAAGAAGCATCACAGGCTGAAGCCTACAAATTTCTCCATTATGCCAGGCCAGTGATCCACAAAACCATTTTACATGGCTCTCAGATGAAATTCCAGGTTG